GAAATAAAGTTGGAGATCCTTATTGTTCTTTCAGATTGCAAGCAGGTGTGCATTAATTCAAAGAGTTCACTTTCTTTCCTGTATGATCTGTAGATAATAAACTCTAAATCACCCAAAACGATGCAATTTGCCTGACTGCAAATATCTGCATATTTTATATTTAATCTTGTACGAATGTTTGCACACTCTGATCTCGATCAGATCCTGTGTTGGCTCTGCCCTGATAAAATGCAGTTGTGGTGGGAGCCTGCAAAGCTCCACTCAAGGCAAACTCTGGGGCTGTCCTGGCTCTGAGAGAGGCTTCTGCTCCAGCTGTGCCACCTGCCTGGCCTTGAATCCCTCTGCTGCTTGTCTCAATAGAGATTTGTGTGAGAAATTTGAGTTTTGGGAGCTGTGTCTGTGCTCTGACTGTGAGACTCCTGGTCCTGGGAGCCTCCATCACAGCAATGGAATTATTGATATAATTGATAAAATTATTTCCTGCTGACATTGCCCTACCTCAGGTGACAAGGGTGAGAGTTTGCACAAGGGAGACTGTCACAGATAGGTGTGTTCTGGGTAGCTTTAGCCACTTGGATTTGCCAATTTACTGCTTATTTCATCAGCTGTGTTCTATCCATCTGGTTATTTCTGACCTCCTTTTTTGGAGAAAAAAAGAAGTGTTTTTACTCCATGTGTTGCTGCTTCAGAAATTCAACAACAATTATAATAATAAAAAATGCACCACCACCACCATAATAATAATAGTAATAATAACAACAACAACAACAATAATAATAATTATAATAATAATAAAATAGGTTTGCCTGTGCAGCCAACTCTCTGTGTAGGATGCTGCATTACCTCTTTCAGAATTTAAAGTGTTGCTGGATCCAGTTTTAGGAAGTGTTTTTCCCATGAAGCTTTTGCTTTGAATGGTGAAAATGATGAATTAGACTCGGTGTCTCTGTGTGTGGTCCCAGGCTGTATTTGCTGTGCAATATTGAGGTTGCTCTGGAAATGGAATCAAATCCTTCAAAGGTTTTTATGGTGCCTTTCTTCTCCAAATATCAGCACCCAGCATCCTTCAGAGCCTGGAGAATGGCAATGCCACCTGCTCCCAAATCCCACTGCTGGGCCAAAGGACATCCTTGGGATAATCCCTGCCCAGGGCTGTAAAAGTCAGGCCAAGGTTGAGGTGGCTTCACCAACAGCAAATGTGAAAACAAAAGCATGAACAGAAGTAGGGTGGCAGACTGAGATGCTCCCTCAGAATCTTTTGCAGCTTCAGGCAGCCTGCACATCCAGAACTTCCTGTGCCAAAGTATTTTTGTGTTTTCTGGTCCCTTTATGACTTTGTCTTCCATGGTTTGTATGAATTCTGGGATACTTCAGCATTCCTTGTGACCTGCATTGAGAAGGGCTGCAAGTTTAACTACAGCCTCACTTATTTTGAGACTAAAAATTAATAAATTACCACAATTCCCCCTGATTCTTGCATTTTAGAGATCAGAATAATCTTTACTCACTTGGAGGTCAGTCCTGCTTCCACAGCCCTGTGTTCTCCTGCTATCCCTTCTTCTCCTGGTGGGAATTGTGGAAGGTATCCAGCCCATCTTACACAAGTTTATTGGAAATCTGTCAGCTGTACATGTCCAGGCAGTATCCTCTGCCCTTGGTCTGTGTGTGCAGTGACTCCTTCAGGTTTAAGAGGCATCACCACCTTCCACAGAACTTGTATTGACTCTTCACCACTGTTCTGTATTTAACCTTTGCCCACCAATTCTACTCTGGTTTTAGAGTTTCCCTGAGCTTGTCCAGGACAACTCCTCCCTGGTTTGTGTCATTCATCAGATCTCTTGTAAATCTTGAAGATCCCTTTGCCACCTTTTCTCCCTTTCACACAGGTTTCAGCAATACCTTTGCACCACGTTCTCCTGGATGTGAATCAGGCACTCCTGGGCTACAGAAAACTTCATGGTCTTGGCTTTACAGCTGCACTTAAAATTCATCAACCCCCACAACAAACCTGGGGGAGCTCAACCCAGGTTCACACAGCCTTTAGTGAAACTGTGTCTGCTCAAGGGCTGAATTTCTGACTTTACATTCAGCCCATGGCTTTGGCTTTGCACTGCCTGCTCTCCCTGTCCCCCAGGAGAAGGGATTCATGGATTTTTGGCCAATTTCCTGGGCCCTTGGGATAAGGAAGTGTAATGGCAAGAACAAACAGTGAGCAGTTATATTGCAGTTCTCTGTTTTTTCCCAGTTTAGGTCATACCCTGGGACTCCTCTGGAGTCAGAGCCACCCTCTGCACTGAGCTCCTGCTGCTTCTGAACCCCTGGGGAGGGCTCAGGGCTGATCACCCCTTTCCCAGGAGGGGGATGATTGGTCTGAACAGTCACTGAAGCCACTGCTGCTGTCTGAAACGCCTGACAAGGGATTAAAGACGTTTTAGCTGGAATTTAGGACATTAAAATGAGGATGGAGACTGGCAAGAGGGGATATATTTTTGTTCTGGAGGGGATTTTGGTGGGGTAGGATGCCTGGCATGGTGGCAGGTCTGTTGGCACGTGGATTTGGGGATGTTGCAGCTGTGCTTTCAAGCAGTGAGTGATTTGTGTTGTTATATCAGGCTCTCAAACTCCTCAGTGACACCTCCCCCTTCCTTATTTCCTCTCCCTGTGCCATGAACTTGGGAAACTTTGGTGCTTGGGAGCACAGACACTGCATGGCACAGGGAGGGGAGCCACATTCCCACTCCACTTGTTGACAAGTGAACTTTTCTGGGATGTCAGTGCTGGAATCCCACTACAGCCAGGTTCTGGTGAGGGTTGTTATTCTGACATAACAGCAACACCAGCATTGTCCCACTGAGTTGGGTGCTGTCTGAACATCCCCAAATCAGACTTTTGCTGACTTCTGAGCCTGCCCATGCAAATGCTGGCACATCTTGAGCTTCAGAGCTTGTGCTTGTGCTCCCAGGGGCATCCCAGCCCCGTGAACAGGTTGGTTCACCGGTGTGTGTTGGGTTTCAAGCACCAGGGTGAGCCAAGCAAAGCCCTCAGTTTGGTTCATCATGGGTTGGTCTGAGTGCCTTGGGTCAATCTCGTGTCCCTCAGGGCATTTCCTCCAGCTCAGGTCTGCCTTGAGCAGCCTCTGGGCAGAGTTTGGGGCCAGGCAGGGCTCTGAGCTGTGCAGCCTGAGCTGCTCTCTGAGGTTCATCAAGCCATGTTAATTTGAGTTTCTTGGGCTGGACCTGGCCCCAAAGCTCTGTCTCTGTTTCCAGCATTGCCTCTTTATTTCTTGGTTCACTGGGACATCTCCTGGTTCTGTCCCCCATTTCAGCAGTGACAATGAGAGGGAGAGATTCTTCTGACCCACCTGGTTCTAAGGTTCAATCCTTGTGTGACCCACAAGGATTCCAAGGTTCTTGGGTTGTTTGCAGGTCTCTGGGTGTGTTAGTTAATTACCTTTGTTCTTAATTACAGATGTGTGAGCACATCTGGGGGTTGAGGCTCCTGTGAGAATGGGCACAGGGTTCTGTGGGATTGGGTCAGGAGGGCTGTGCTCCAGCTCCTGTGCCTGCACAGGCTGGGCTGACTACAGGGAGATCTAGAAAATAGCTCAGGAACAGCTCAGGAACACACTTTATACATCTACAAAGTACAGGGGGGACTCAAATCACAGCTGCAGTGCTTGGCTTGCACACTCCATGATGAAGAGGAAGTGCCCAAAAATAAAGGTTCCAGAGTATTTCCATTGATCTGTCTGGTTTGGGCATTTGTTGAGGCTCTGTGTGAGTCTAGGTTTGGGAAGCAGGTGACACTCCTGGTCAGTGCTGCTCCCAGTTTGCAGCCCCCAAATCCTGCTTGAAAGTAAAATAATTTTTCTGTGATTTCAAGCATCCTGAAGCTATCAGGTAAGATGAGTTTTGCAAGAAAATTATTGTCTTGCCATGGAAAGTGAAACCATTTGTCTCCAATATTTGTGACATCTTTCAGCTGAATTGCATTAACACATAAATGCATTGCTGTTGCATTTGGCAGGACATTTTTATTTGACCTCTTGTTTTCAGCAAGGATATGTTTTCCCAGCAAAACTCATGCTTGAGGAGGAAAGTGGTCACTGGTAACATCCTCCCAAATGGCCTTTCCATGCTGTGGGGTGTGGTGCCAGGGCACACAGAGCCTGGGAAGCAGCTGGCTCCTGCCTTCAGCAGAGCTGTGACACAGTGAGCAGCAGCCATGGCTCTGTGTGACACTGGTGTGCTGTGACCCACGAGTGGCAGTTGTCATGTTCTCTCCATGGAGCCAAGAGAACTTCCCATGGGGTTGCTGATGACAACACACATGGCTTTCTCCTCCTCCCCATGGCATCAGTCTGGGACTTTGCCCTCTGTGTGGTGGGAATGGGACACCAGATCTAATCAATCTGTATTGATTAATCTGAGCTGGTAAAATGCCCCAACCTGCAGCTTCCTGAATATCCTTCCCTTCTTCACATTTTCCATGATGGTGGTCTTAGAATCATCACTGAATCCCAAACTGGTGTGGGCTGGACCTTTAAAGACCACCCAGTCCAGTCCTGTGCCATGGGCAGGGGCACCTCAGGGTGGCTCAGAGCTCCTGCCCAGCGTGACCCTGGGTGATCCTGATGCCTCAGGTTTGACCTTCTGTATTTTTCAGGTTCTGGGCTTTGTATTAGGGGATGGTGAGCTCTCTGCACAGAGCAGGGAGACAAAACAATTCCTTCTCCAGCTGGGGACCAAGGACAAATGATCCAGAACTCAGTCCCAAGAAAACAGAAAACGTGGGCTGGAGAGAGAAAAACAAACAGGATGGGACTGCCTGGGCTGGAGCTGGAATTGGACAATGAACTCCAAGGTGCAAATGGAGCAGAACTGATAAAAGTGAGAGACCCCGTGACCTGTGGGGCATTTTGTGACCATTTTGGTTCACCTGGGGCGCAGCCCTGGCTGGGCTCTGGTGGATCCATTGAGGCCTCCTGATAAATCCCTACTTTATTCCTTAGCTCCTCCAGTCTCTGTTCTAGGGCAGCCTTCACAAGGCATCAATCCCAGGGATGTGCTCCCTAACTCACCTCTTCTCCTGCTTCTCTCCTTCCAGCCTGACCGGGAAAGAAGCCCTGACCCACTGGCCATCGCTGGGCGCCCCGGGGGGCTCTGGCCCGGCCAAGGGGCACATGAAGCAGTGCGAGCTGCTCCAGCTGTCCCGCAAGCAGAAGCGGCTGTGCCGGAGGGAGCCGGGGCTGGCGGAGACGCTGCGGGACGCGATCCGCCTGGGCATCCTCGAGTGCCAGTTCCAGTTCCGCAGCGAGCGCTGGAACTGCAGCCTGGAGGGCCGGCCCAGCCTGCTCAAGAGAGGTACAAGGTAGTTGGTGTGCTGGGAGACTCTGGCTGCAGCCCCCGGGATGTCCCAAATTAAATCTCCCACGATGTCGTGGTAGAGATGGAGACAGCACAGAGCAACACGCTCCATTTCCAGAAGGCTTCAAACTGTTTTTAGTATAGTCTGCATAACAGGTACAGAGACACCTGCCCGAGGGGCTGAAATGACAGCTCTGAGGAAGGAAAGTAAAGGGTTTTGGTATCAGCTGTTAAATCTCAATATTGATTATTGAGATTTTTAGGCTGGATGCTCTGGGGATTTCTGCCACCTCCTTTGCAGGCAGTGGGGGTACAAAGCAGAGGAACCATCCTGATTATCACAGCAGTGCAACACTCACAGGCCATCCTCTCTCCAGGGACAAATGGGGGGGATTGAATTGTGCTGTTTTGGGAAGGATGAAAACTCTGCTTGACAGAGATGCTGGGGACAGAGCAGAGCTGGGGACCTCTGTGCCCTGCACAGGCCTTGGTTCCATCTTTTTATACATTATTACAAAACTGTTAAGTTTTACACTTCACTCTCTTTACTCAGACAAAATGCTGATTGGAATAGGCAGTCGCAGGTTTCTCTTATTTATCCTTCTTTCTTTCTTGGTTTCTGTGTCAATGACCTTGGTAGGAAATTCTTTCAGGGGTAAACATGGATCCTTTTATCAAGCTTCCCTTTGGCTCACAGAAGTCACTGTAAAACCTCTTCCACAGTTGTTGTGCAGGGAAGCTCTGGCTGCAGTCCCCAGGATGTCCCAGATGAAATCTCACATGAAGCAAAGAGTGCTGAGATCTCTGTTTTGCCCAGCAATGGGAGCTGGGCAGTTTGGGCTCCTCTGCCACAAAATAATCCTTGTGCTCATCTCCCCAGCATGGTTTGTCAGGGACTGGAAAGTGGGAGGAGGTTCCCATCCTTGGCTGGTGGCGTCTTCTCTAAAGGCAAAGCTCCTTACACTGAGCTCCCTCCTCAGCTGGGGTGGTGCTGTGGGAAAACAGGGTCAGTTAAAGGAAAAAGTCTTTACTGCCTTGGATATTCATGTATGTAAACCTCTGTTATTCTCAAATGCAAAATTTAAACCTGTTTACTGTTTGGAAAAGCTATTTATCTGCAGGCAGACATCTCAGTTCATGTTGACAAATCTCTCCTAAGACTCTTTCACATAAATTTGAAGAAATTTAGGCAGAGTGGACAGAAGACCCACTGGGGTTTTGTTTCCCAAAATGCTTTAGATGAAGAAATTGTCCTGTAAGGTCTGGATTTGAGGTAGAAGGGAACATAATAAATCCTTCCAATGCTTGAGAAAAATACAATTAAGATGGACACTCAAATTACTTCTTAATAAAAATTCCCTGAGAATGCAATAGGGTTTGCCAGACCAGTCCTGATCCAACCAAAGCCTGACTGTTACAGAGTTTCAACACTTCAATGACTTCTATTAGCACTTACTAAGCTTCAGTCTTCAGATTTATTGAGTTTCAGTTCTTTGATAATGTTTAGCAACTTAATGTTTTTTAAAAAAAGGACCTGAAGAAGCTAATATTAATTTTGATGAAAATCAATGCTAATTTTAATTAACATTGGGATCAAAACTTTCTAATGTTTCCTTTTAAAATTATCAATTTTTATTATATAAAATATCAACTTGATATTTAATTAAATCAGCACATGCAAGATCAGATTTTCTTCATTCCAAGGCTCTACTGTGAATTTTTTAGCAGGCAGTGGAAGGAACTCTTCATGATCATTTTGAGTGTCTTTCTCACATCTGCACCTTCATCAACCTCAAAGAACTTGAAAATGACAATTGAATAATCCTCATCTTCAAATAGCTGGAAAACATTTAATTATCTGGCGGTGGCATGCCTTAACATTTCCATGGGCTCCTGACTGACAAAATAAAATATCACCTGTAATTTCAAACCTGTTTTGGCAGATGGGGATAAGTGTTTGAAAACTTTTATTACACAATCCTAAGGATCAAATGATGATTTAATGCAGCCAGGTATGCTGTGTGCACCCCTGTGTGACAGGACACTTGGCTGGGAGCAATTATTAATTCTCATTTTCCTTTAGCTTGCAAAGGGGTTTGTTTCTTTCATAAAGAACATGAACATGACTTTCAGCTGCCACTTTTAATCTGTTTGTGACATTTGTTGGAACTTTCTTGGAAATTGTTGATCATGCAACTCTCCCCTGTCACCCAGGTTGTGACGAGGCATTTCAGAAATGTTTAAATCATTTGATATCTCCATGGTCCTAGAGAAACCATGAAGAAAAATACAGATTTTTAGCAGACCTAAATGGTCTTAAGGATGCAAGAGAGTGAAAAAGGTCCTTCCCAGTGAGATTGGCCATTTTTGTAACAGGTGAAAAGCCACATTCAATTTGCAATCACAACTGACAAACTTCTGTGACTGATCTGGATCATCAGTGCTTTTCCTGCTTCTAGAGATGCCAGAAAACAAACAAACAAACAAAAAATAAGCCAAAGCTTTTCTGGTTCTGGAAATGCCAGATTTACTTTATCAGTCCGCACCATTTGTTGCTCTTGATAGTTTTCTGGGTACAACTGGGAAACTCCTTTTGCATTACCTGCAGCCTTTCTGTGGCACTCATGACACCTATTACTCCTCAGTGATCCATGCAAAATCCTCCTGCATTCTTCTCCACTTCTTTAAAGATCCATGGAAAGAGTTTAAATGATTTCAAGCCACCTTGTTACACAGGGGCAGTTGGTGTCTTTATAAAAACATGTAAAGCAGTGATGCTCTTTTCATGTCCTGGGTGTGCTGTTAAGGGCTGCTGGAAGTCAGGTAAAGCAGGATTTCATCTCAAACAACTCAGTGATCTGGGAAAGAAATACCTTTAGCAAAGAGGTCAGAGCCAGCCACTCACAAAATCCTTCTTGAGAAATGAGTGCTCTGCAATCCTTCCATCCCTTAATCCACTCCTTTGCCTCCTGCTGGTTGGACTCTGACCTTCCAGCAGTGGTTTCAATGTTGTCATGAAGAATCCAGGAATGGCACAGCAGAGGAGTGGTGACTCACAGACACAGAATTTCCATGATGGGACATTTGGAGAAAAAATTCTTCTGAGCAAAAAAAAAACCTGAGCAGCTGGCATTGGAGCCAGCCCTGCTTTGAGCAGGAGGTTGTTCTGAAGGCCTCAACACTCCTTCCATCCTAAATCTTTCTATAGCTTTTTTTGGTAGGTTGGTTTTGCTGTTGTTTTCAGGGAGATGCCTCCTCCACCTGTTCTGAAACTCTCTCACTCCTCCACTACAGCATTGAAAACTCTGACCCTGAGCATCTTTCCTTTGGCAGAGTCACCCCACAGCAAAACTCCTCCCGTTACAATTTTCCCTGTGGTCTGGAGCACACCACAGCACACACCAGTGCATTGCAGCAGAAATCCTTCTGTATTTGTAGGCTGCCGAGCTAAGAAATCCTGCTGGAGAGCTCAGGGCAAGGCTTGGACGCATGGAAGGTCCTGCCAGAGGGAGCTGGTTTGCTGCAGCCTCCTGAAATTCATCTCAGTGCTGGATGCTTGCAGCCAAACTGCCCAGCAGAGACATCTGCACCCAGGTGTTCCTCCTGCACCGAGAGCTTTGAGTTCCATTTTGTCCCTGACAAAATGGGGAGCGACCCATTCCCAACCTGAGAGCCCAGAACTGGCTCCAGGCCCCACTGCCTGTGGTGGCAGGAGCTCTGTTGTCACTGTGGGAGGAGAGAGAGCAGGACACATGGAGCAGCCTCTGTTCAGATCCCAAACTGTGCTCCTTGGAGCTGGTCGCTGCCATTTGTGGTGTGTCCTCCTGAAAATCCCGCTCCAGCAGCTGCTCTGCCACACTTCCCACAAGGGCTGAAGGACAGATTTTGCTTCCCTCATTTGTTTTGTGAATTAACAATTAAATGGTGATCGATTCCTCATGACAGAGTGGAGGAAATCATCTTAGACTTTTCAGACAAGTATTTGGCAGCCTGGTGATGTTGAAGCTTTGTTTGAAGGAGGAGGCATTTCAAAGTCTGCTGGGTATCTGCAGTTGCTGCTGTCTGCAGTGGCCTGACCACAGCAGTGGCCTCTGATTTCCAGTGGGCTGAAAACTGGCCGGGAAAACATGGGGAAACCAAAGCATCTGAAATAGCAGGAGCAGTGTGGTGATCCACAAAGTCAGATTTAGCAGGGGCTGTGGAGCCGACGGGGCCTGCTGGCTCCTCATGGCATGGGAAAGGACCTCCGGAATGCTCTCCTCACCTCTGGGATCAGTGTGTCAGAGGGGATGTTGGGAATCTGGTAAGCATTTGGGGGTTGGCTGCTGGAATGATTTAGCAGATTTAGGATCTCAAGTGTCAATTATCATCTCTTAGCTTCTTTGGAGAGGGTTAGACACTGTTTGAAAATGTGTGAGCATCATGCTGCTGTCCACAGCCTGCATTGACCATGTCCCATTCCAGATTTTACAAAACTTTTGGTGGATTTTGTGACATTCTTTCAATTACCTTTAGAGTACTCTGAGAAATTTTGTAGATGATCATCGACCAGAAAGATTAATTGCAAATTATTGCCTCTCCCCCCCCCCCCAGTAGTTACAGTAACCAAAATGGTGAGGCAGGAAGACGATTGTTGGTTGATCTCCTTGTCTTCTCCATATTTCCCCAGCTCTCCCCTCATGTCCATGCTGTTGGTAGATCTTTACCTAAAATTCTTCAATTCCAAAGAGCTCCTGTGAAGTCTGTTGAAGTTGCTAATGAAGCCTCTCCATTATGTTCATGATTAGTCAGATTTTTCATTCTTCTTGCTGGAAACCATCAGGAGAACTCTTTGTCTTGCTCTCTTGGTCATATTTATGGTGGACATCACTCAGATTTCAGCACTCAGTGTTCTGATCCACTATTACAGCTGGGTGAGTTCTCTGAGGGAACAGAATGATGGAGAGATTTGAGGTTGGACTTGGTGAATTCTAGAAGTGGCTTCCAACCTTTGCTCCAGGCACGGCTCAGTGCAAGTCCAGGTCAAATCTCTGTGGTTGTCTCTCTCTCTTCCATTATTGGGAAAAACAGATTTTCCTTCCGATGTGGAAAGAAATTTGGAATTTTCCCATGTGGAATATTTGTTTGCTTCATTATGGTTTTTTTTACATGCAATGTGTAAGTGCTTTGTCTTCCATAAACCAAACTTTTTCTGTTTTGACTGACCTTATCCATTCCTGCACTCAGAGCTATTGATCAGTCACCTGTCTTTCTCTTCCTTGCACTAATTCCTAAATTTTGGACTTGTTAAACAATTTTGCATTAGTAGTTGGTTTTTTTTTTTTTTCCTGCAAATGAACTCTAGAGGAAATATTAAGATTTTCCCCGGGTCTGAATAGCAGAGGATGTAAATATAAATAAATAAAAATATTTTAGCATTTGGGTCAGGTTTGTGTCAATCAGAGTTTGTGAAACTTTTGTGAAGCTCATGGGTGTCAATAGTCCTATTCCTGTCTGATCTCATGTCTCTACACTCAATTTTCATTCAGTCAGTGTACTTTGTTTCCTGGTTAAAGGGTCACAGTCACACCATGACCTCAGGGATTGTAGCCAAGCTGGGAATCCTGCTTTGGGGAGGAGAACAGCTTCAGAACACACCCCCACAGTCACTGGGAGTAGATAATTTACAGGGAATTCAGAAAACCCGCACACGTGTGTGATTTGCCTTCTTGCCAAGATGTCCTTCAACATGGAATCCTTCCCATTCCAACTACATGTGGTCTTTTCATAGAAAATACCACTACAGTCCCAATTAAAAACATTTTTAAATAACAGGTTGGATTTTGGGACACTTTCTCAGCCTCTATTACGGATTTCCTGATTTTATGACACGATGGGATTTCAATGATGGGCTGTCATTGCACCAATCACCTCTGTGCTGGGGACAGAGCTTGGTGGCTGTCACTTTTTGCAGTTGGGTGTTTTTCCAGGACTGTTTGTCTGTTGCCACCCTTCCCTTGTCCACATGGAAGCAGTCATGGGTGAGACTGGGATGTCACTAGACCGATCCCTTCAAACTCTGATGTCGGAACTCAAAATGTCCCTCAGACATTTTCAGAAGTTCCAGGCCTTGGTCAGAAGCATTTTAGACCCTGGCAAGCAGCTGAAAACAGCTGTGATCTTGAGTTTAAACCATAGAATGAATTACCAACTTTGAAAGTAGAACAAGCGGTCACAGAGAGTTAGATGATATAGTAAAAGTAGTCACAAATTAGAGGAAAAAATTTTTTAATATTATACAAGGAAGTTTTAGTACCTGTACAGGGGGGTTTTTACTTTGTACAGAAGAGTCAAGAGTTCTAAGATGGAGGAAAGTGGGCCTAATCCTGTTCTTCCTCCTTCTTCTTCCTTACCTCCATGTTCTTAATGATGTTAGCATTTTTCTATTAGTTTAGGCTGAAGACACACTGTTCAACGTAGATGATAGATATTGGCACATTATTGTAAATATAGTACACGTAATTTCTGGTATATAATGTTTGTACCATCCCACTGAGGGGCAGAGCCCCGCACACTGCCCTGCAAGACAAAGCTGCAGCAGGGCAGCAAAACTTGTTATAAATAAGCAAAAATAAACAACCTTAAAAACAACACAAACGAACTATAGCTTCTTCTTTAGCAATGGAGCAGAAAAACAAAAACTTTCTACAATCTCGGAATCACCAATACCCACAGATTCCGACACTCTGCTGCTCTGCTGGGGACGGTGTGGGAGCACTGCAGGAGTTTGGTCTCTTGGTACTTCTAATTATTGTGCTTGGCTTTAAGCAGGAGAGGCAGGGAGGTGCCTTTGCTGATCCTCCCATCTCCCAATCCTTCTCCCGTGCAGGTTTTAAGGAAACAGCCTTCCTGTATGCTGTGTCCTCGGCCGCCCTGACGCACTCGCTGGCGCGGGCGTGCAGCGCGGGGCGCATGGAGCGCTGCACCTGCGACGACTCCCCGGGCCTGGAGAACCGCAAGGCCTGGCAGTGGGGCGTCTGCGGGGACAACCTCAAGTACAGCACCAAGTTCCTGAAAAAGTTCCTGGGGCAGAAGAGGATCGGCAAAGACCTGCGGGCCAAGGTGGACATCCACAACACCAACGTGGGAATCAAGGTAGGAGCTGCACCGGTGGGCTTGGGATGAAGTTTGGACTCGGTGTGAGTCTTCCAACCCATCCTGTTCACTGTCCTGCTCACAAACCAGACCTGTTCACCTGTGTGCCCTGGGCCTTGTGGTGCTGAGAGTCCCTGGGAAGTCTCCTGAGCTTTTGTGTGAGGAGACGCAAGTTGAGTGGCAGAGGAACATCCTGTGTCCTCCAGTGGTCCCAGGGTGGGTGACAGGGAGACACAGCACAGTGACAGCTGTGAACCTCCACAGCTAAATGACTCCGGGGCCACAGGTGGTTCTGAGAGCAGCTGCAGTGCAGAGCTGGTGGCATGTGTGAAGCAGATTAAAGGCTGAAACTCTTGAGATCAGTTATGAGTCTGCTGGTGACTTGCTATGGAACAAATCCTGTCACAGGTTCGGGTCAGAGAGACCATCAGATTGAACATTTTGATCTGTAGGTTACAGGCTACTGACTCATCATTGTCTTCCATTTACTGAGTCAAATTGTTTAATTAAATAACTGTCTTCATTTGAATATACCAAAAGGAATCCACCATGTTGGAGATACTCAGTTTTATGATTGACTACTCTTACTGTGCCAAATAGAATTAATAAGAACTTATTTAAGAACTTACTTGGTTTTCAGCTAATTGTCCTCAGGCTATCCACTCTCTGGCTCATCTGTTAACTGTGTAGCTATTCCTCTGCTTTGGTGGGGTTTTATTGGAGGGTTCTTTGGGGGCTTTTTGGTGTGTGTTTTTGTTTGGTTGGTTTTTTGTTTGGGTTTTTAAAAAATTATTATTATAATTTTTTTTCCTCCATAGAATAGAAATAATGCCAACAAAATTGAAGTACTTGCAGCACTTGTCTGCGATCTGAGGTGTTGCCTCTACCAGAACTAGGTCCTGGCAGATAATAACCACCACTCTCCTTCCTCCTCAGGCAGTGAAGAACGGCCTCAAAACCACCTGCAAGTGCCACGGCGTGTCCGGCTCCTGCGCGGTGCGGACGTGCTGGAAGCAGCTCTCACCTTTCCACGAGATCGGGCGGCTCCTGAAGCTGCGCTACGATGACGCCGTCAAGGTCTTCAGCACCAGCAACGACGCCGTGGGACACTCGGAGCTGGCGGGGCCGCACAGACACGGCCACTCGGCCAAGCAGCCCTTCCTGCCCCGCCCCACGGACCTGGTGTACGTGGAGGACTCGCCCAGCTTCTGCCGGCCCAGCAAATACTCCCTGGGCACCGCGGGCAGGACCTGCTCCCGCGAGGGCAACTGCGACAGCATGTGCTGCGGCCGGGGCTACAACACCCAGAGCCGCCTGGTCACCTTCTCGTGCCACTGCCAGGTGCAGTGGTGCTGCTACGTGGAGTGCCAGCAGTGCATGCAGGAGGAGGTGGTCTACAGCTGCAAGCAGTAGGACAGCCCCGAGGGGCGAGGCGAGTCCAGGGGAGCAGCAGGGGGACAGGGACATGGCTCTCTGCTGTGGGGTGAGGGCCAAGGCGGGCACCAAATGTGTGCATTGCTCTTCCAACCTCGGTATTGAGATGCTCCAAACCTCGGCATTGAGATGCTCCAAACCTCGGCGTTGAGGTGATCCAACCTTGGCATTGAGATGCTCCAAATTCGGCATTGAGATGCTCCAAACCTCGGCATTGAGATGCTCCAAACCTCGGCATTGAGGTGATCCAAACCTCGGCGTTGAGATGCTCCAACCTCGGCATTGAGATGCTCCAAACCTCGGCGTTGAGGTGATCCAACCTCAGCATTGAGATGCTCCAAATTCAGCATTGAGATGCTCCAAACCTCGGCGTTGAGATGCTCCAAACCTCGGCGTTGAGGTGATCCAACCTCGGCGTTGAGATGCTCCAAACCTCGGCATTGAGATGCTCCAAACCTCGGCGTTGAGATGCTCCAAACCTCGGCGTTGAGGTGATCCAACCTCGGCATTGAGATGCTCCAAACCTCGGCGTTGAGATGCTCCAAACCTCGGCGTTGAGGTGATCCAACCTTGGCATTGAGATGCTCCAAATTCGGCGTTGAGACGCTCCAACCTCGGCGTTGAAATGCTCCAGCCTTGGCGTTGAGATGCTCCAACCTTGGCATTGTGGTGCTCCAACCTCGGCTTGAGACGCTCCAGCCTTGGTGTTGAGATGCTCCAGCCTGGGGAGAGCTCCTGCATGAGCAGGGAAAACCAGAGGCTTTGTTGGGTATGGGGTCAGGAAGGAGGGACAGAGATGGGAGTGGGGGGACAGCAGAAACCCTGATGCAGCCACAAATGTCCCTCAAGTTCAAAACTTGTACTCACCTGTGAGGGAATATCCTCCTTCTGCACCCCTCAGGTGCACTCCTGGAGATGCATTGGGGTGGTGACACTGGGACACTGAGGGCTCGTGCCCTGGATCCTGCAGAGAAGAGAATTAAGGGACCAGGAAGGCCACAACCAGAGGCTGGCTCCAGGTGTGGCAGGGCCAGCCGTGCTCCTGCACAAGGCAGAAGGACTCTGGCAGTGGGGGATTGCCAGTGCCGTGTCCTGGGAGCTGGCTGAACCCTTTCTGCTGTCAATTCACCGACACACTGCTGAATAATCTCATTTTTGCCCATGAATTGTGCCTCAGGAATACCAGTTTACAAACAAAGAGAGCTCAAGTCCATCACCTCCCAGGTCTGTAGTTCGGGTATTGGACTCAAAGTGCATTTTAACCACATTTTAACCTTGCTGTTCCAGGTCACCTGGAACTGCTGCAGTGACAGTGTTTGAGCCACGGGAACTCAGCTGAGGGCTGTGAAGTCACCCCTCTGCAGCATGTGGCCTCACTGGGGGTATTTATTGGTGGTGATCCAGGGTGATGGTGCCAGTTATGTATCGCTCTTCCCCCCACCCCCCACCCCCCCCACCCCGAGTCAATCAATCAGTCAATCAATCAATCACCTTTTTGTCCTATGTGCAGCACACTCTGCCTGGTGCCTGAGGTGTGTCCCATCCCACAGTCTTCCCCTGTGCCAGTGACAGGTAAAGCCTCTGAAAGGGAATCAGGAACCACGGGAACTGGGCATCTGAAAAATGTGCAAGTTATGAGTGACAATTCCTGCCCTGAGAAGTTGTGTCTATCCAGCCCCTGCATGGGGAGGGAAGGTGACCCAGGGAAAAGAGCACAGGCTGTTATAGAGTCACGAGCCCCTGACTTTGAACCTTGTTTTTCCCTTTGATTTTTAGCTGAACACACCAGACACAGCCTATTCAGTTCATTTGGCTGTGATTTAGGGAGCAGTTTTGGCAATGGCAGTGAGGCACCCCCTGACCTGACCACCAGGGAAATGTGGGTGTAGCACAGTTTCTCTGGGTGTTCAGCTCTCTCGCAGTGCATTTTCCTGCTCCAGGGTTTTCCTGGTTAATCCTGCAGCAGCTCTGGATTGTCCCAGAGGTAACAAACCTGCTGTATTTACTCATTCTTGGCAATGGGTACAAACCAGCCAGAGGGGAGATGGGCTGGTGCTGCAAAGAGCATGGGAATCCTAAAGCTCAAATCCAAATTCCCTGGCAGTGTAAGGGGTGAAGATGCTGGTTTGGGTAGCAAGGTGGGCTCATCGACAGGCAGAATTGGGCTGAGTTCCAATGGGATGGAATTCTCAGAGGTGTGGGATCTGCCTGGGTGCTGAGCTCAGCAGTGTGGATCTGCTGGAGTGGGACAGCTCAGACACTTTTACAGCTGCTCTGAGCAGTTCCCCGCAGTGAGGAGCATGTGCTCACACTCTCTTTACCTTTACCTTGTTGCCCTTTTGGTTTTTACAACTGTTTTTGACTTCTGCTCCCTCCAGTGCTGGCACAGAGCTGTCTCAGAGCAGATCAAGCAAACTGGCTGTTTGGAGGCCACTTCCCTCTCACCAGCTACAGGTCTTTTAAAGGGCTTATTCCTTTTTATCCCTTTTCTGGCTCAAGTTGACTTGAACTGAACTAAAGAGTTTATGACAGACATATTACTGCAAATAGGCCTAATTAGCCTAACTTTTTTTTTACCTCCTAAATACCCAAGAGCAGACAATTATTTATATGTTGCTTTTAATCCTTTTGGAGTTGAAATCTTCCCACGAGTCTCAATGTTGAGCACTCAATGAAAAAGCTTCCAAATAAGCTAAAACTGGCATAGTGGGTGAAGTGAGCAGGAAACTCACTCTGGTTGAACTATTGATCCCAAGCCTTCTGCCCCACTGACCTCCAGCCTTGTCCAGCACCAGAGAGGAAGGGAATACCCCATGTCAGGAGGGTCCTTTGGGATCCCATGCCATTACATGGATCATTCCCATTTAAACAGGGACTGTGGCTCAGTGGAAAGAGATGGATCCCATTCCTTGGGAAGCAAGTGGAGGAGAAACCACTCTGTCCTCTTGCTTTATCAAAGCTGCACAGGAATTGCTGAATAAGAACTGGACAAAACCAAATTTCAGGGAAAATTAAGTTTCTTCATGTACCAAAGGGGACTTTTGGAAATTCTTTGTCCTGTGTGGCTTAGAGCTGCTGGAGAAGATCTGAGGAAGACATGGTTCATTCTCTGGTACCCTGGGGTGGGTTGGGCTCAGTGGGATGTGGAGGTTTGGCATTGGGCTGGAGTGAATTTGGGTTGTTCACTGTGAAGCCAGGTCTGGACAAGGACATCTGATGTCCCCCAGCTTTACTCTGGTTAACTCAGAGCCCTCTTCAGCCCCTCCTGACACTGATGCAAATCTTCCTGTCCAACCCCTGCCAGGCAGCACAGCCTCAGGGGCTGGACATCAAATGATGAACACTGATGGGAAATAAATAATTTCAAATGCCCAATTTGAGGATTGGGAAAAGACTTGAGCATAGTTTTAGTTTGAGGCAACACAGATGTCAATTCTTTTGGTGTCCTTCAGCACCAAGTTTTTTAGAGTTGGTGCTGTGGATCAGGGAGGGTCAAAGTTTGCTTGGGACAGATATTGTGGTGGCTTTGAGGTTTTTATTTCATTCAGTTGTCCAGGGTTGTTTTGTTGGGTTGATATTCCGAAATGTGATTTAATTCAACTGACAGCAGTGGGAGCAGGGAGCAAAACCTGAGTCTGTTTGGCCTTCAGTATTCTTAGGCTTGAATTGTATTTTCCTCTGAACAAAGACCAAGCATCATCTTGAGCAAAGCTCTTCTGCCACCTCCTGGAGATCTGGGCTGTGAAGATCTGGAAGTCCATTTGGACCTGGGAGAGCTTTTTAACTGTGGCGCACAACTTACAATGTACTGCAAATCCTGTGGATTTGGTTATATGTGTAAATGACTGTAATGACAAGGGGATTGCATTAAGTCTTGACAAAGAAATCTTCTTGTCAGCAAAACTGAAACTCATACCCTGCCTATAAAAAAACCCTTTTCCAAGTGCAAATGTACCTCATTGACTACTGATGGTAAAAGTCTGAGCTGTGCAGGCTTTGCTGGGAGTGTTTTGGTTTGGACTGAATCTTTTCCTCTGCAACTAAAATCCAAATAACCTGGAAACAGCCATAACTCCAAACCAGGCTCCTCACTGCCCACACAGGGGCTACACTGCTCGCAAAGGTTAGTCCATCCATCTATCCATCCATCCATCCATCATCCATCCATCATCCATCCATCCATCCATCCATCTATCCATCCATCCATCCATCATCCATCCATCATCCATCCATCCATCCATCCATCATCCATCCATCATCCATCCATCATCCATCCATCCATCCATCATCCATCCATCCATCATCCATCCCTCCATCCATCCATCATCCATCCATCCATCCATCCATCCATCCATCCATCCATCCATCCACCCATCATCCATCCATCCATCATCCATCCATCATCCATCCATCATCCACCCATCCATCCATCCATCCATCCATCCATCCACCCATCATCCATCCATCCATCATCCATCCATCATCCATCATCCATCCATCCATCCATCCATCCATCCATCCATCCATCCATCCATCCATCCATCCATCCATCCACCCATCATCCATCCATCCATCCATCCACCCATCATCCATCCATCCATCATCCATCTATCATCCATCCATCCATCCATCCATCCATCATCCATCATCCATCCATCCATCATCCATCCATCCCTTTTTACAGGGGATAGAGTGACAAGGAAAGGGGGAATGATTCCCCAGGCTTAGGTGAGATAGTGGGAAGGAATTCCTCTTTGTGAGGGTGGGAAGGCTCTGGCACAGAGAAGCTGTGGCTGCTGCATCCCTAGGAGTGTCCAAGGCCAGATTAGATGGGTCTTGGAGCACCGTGGGATAGTGGAAGGTGTCCCTGCCCATGGCAGGGGTGGAATGGGATGAGCTTTATGGTCGATTCTGAGCCAAACCATTCTGGGATTCTATAAAAAGTTTTACTGAACCATTTCTGGTGTTTATGGGTCCCACCATCCCCACGTGAGGAGCTGAACCTGCTTGGGAAGAAATCTCATTTCGGGAGGCTGCCCCATCTAATGGTTATACCCCAGTAATTCCTGGAGGCTTATCCAGGGATCCATTGCTCTGATGGAAGGGCAGGGCAGTGCTTGGGGGGTTTTGTTAGATCAACAGAAAGGGCCATGTAAACCAAACCCCACCAATGAGGGGAATAACAACCCCCACTCCTTCAAGAGTCACTCTACACCTCGTGTCAGACCTGGAGGCCCATTTCAGCAATATAATAAAAATATCACTTGGGGGAAAAAAAAGTCTGTGCTTTAAGGGAAACAAAACTTTTGTCTACCTCAAGATGTACAACTTGTGTGACAAGAAGTTAGGGTGTTATTTATATTTCTTGTATTTCCTCTAGAAAGAAAGTGGTGCTATGGGGTTTAAGTTGCATTACAGTCCTGTTTGTACCTTGTGTTAATTTTTATATATTCATTTTGATGCTAATGTGCATATTTATGTTGTCCAGTGTTGCACAAGTGTCTGCTTTCCTATGTTCTTGTCAGCCAATAAATACCAGTTATTTTTTAAGAA